ATAAAAACAAGCCTGCCCCTGCTCCATTGCTGATGGTCTTTTTAGCTAGTGTTCCTGTGTGCTTGTACCTGTTGGATTCCTGTGACCTGCCTGACTCGGTTTGTTTGGACTTTGCTATTTGATTGCTGCCTGCCCCTGACCTTGGCCTGTTTCCTGGACTTTGCCTTCTGCCTCCTGATTCTGTACTCTGCTGCCCGGCTGGCTCCGACCTCTGGCTTTCCTGACTACGCTCCAGTCTCTTGTTCCTGCTCACACGCTGTCTGCTCGGTGGACCCCCGGCTTGCTGACTACACGTCATCAGGACGTCTCCTGCACAGTGTCGGTTCCCATCAGTGGGACAGTCACACTTGTGGTCTGGTCCTTTGTGTCCTAATCACAATTGTGCATTGGTTATGTGTGTCCTAGTCACAGTTGTGGTCTGGTCCTTTGTGTCCTAGTCACAATTGTGATCTGGTCCTTTGTGTCCTAATCACAATTGTGCATTGGTTATGTGTGTCCTAGTCACAGTTGTGGTCTGGTCCTTTGTGTCCTAGTCACAGTTGTGCCCTGGTCCTTTGTGTCCTAGTCACAGTTGTGCCCTGGTCCTTTGTGTCCTACTCACAGTTGTGGTCTGGTCCTTGGTGTCCTAGTCACAGTTGTGGTCTGGTCCTTTGTGTCCTAGTCACAGTTGTGGTCTGGTCCTTTGTGTCCTAGTCACAGTTGTGGTCTGGTCCTTTGTGTCCTAGTCACAGTTGTGGTCTGGTCCTTTGTGTCCTAGTCACAGTTGTGGTCTGGTCCTTTGTGTCCTAGTCACAGTTGTGGTCTGGTCCTTTGTGTCCTAGTCACAGTTGTGGTCTGGTCCTTTGTGTCCTAGTCACAGTTGTGGTCTGGTCCTTTGTGTCCTAGTCACAGTTGTGGTCTGGTCCTTTGTGTCCTAGTCACAGTTGTGGTCTGGTCCTTTGTGTCCTAGTCACAGTTGTGGTCTGGTCCTTTGTGTCCTAGTCACAGTTGTGGTCTGGTCCTTTGTGTCCTAGTCACAGTTGTGGTCTGGTCCTTTGTGTCCTAGTCACAGTTGTGGTCTGGTCCTTTGTGTCCTAGTCACAGTTGTGGTCTGGTCCTTTGTGTCCTAGTCACAGTTGTGGTCTGGTCCTTTGTGTCCTAGTCACAGTTGTGGTCTGGTCCTTTGTGTCCTAGTCACAGTTGTGGTCTGGTCCTTTGTGTCCTAGTCACAGTTGTGGTCTGGTCCTTTGTGTCCTAGTCACAGTTGTGGTCTGGTCCTTTGTGTCCTAGTCACAGTTGTGGTCTGGTCCTTTGTGTCCTAGTCACAGTTGTGGTCTGGTCCTTTGTGTCCTAGTCACAGTTGTGGTCTGGTCCTTTGTGTCCTAGTCACAGTTGTGGTCTGGTCCTTTGTGTCCTAGTCACAGTTGTGGTCTGGTCCTTTGTGTCCTAGTCACAGTTGTGGTCTGGTCCTTTGTGTCCTAGTCACAGTTGTGGTCTGGTCCTTTGTGTCCTAGTCACAGTTGTGGTCTGGTCCTTTGTGTCCTAGTCACAGTTGTGGTCTGGTCCTTTGTGTCCTAGTCACAGTTGTGGTCTGGTCCTTTGTGTCCTAGTCACAGTTGTGGTCTGGTCCTTTGTGTCCTAGTCACAGTTGTGGTCTGGTCCTTTGTGTCCTAGTCACAGTTGTGGTCTGGTCCTTTGTGTCCTAGTCACAGTTGTGGTCTGGTCCTTTGTGTCCTAGTCACAGTTGTGGTCTGGTCCTTTGTGTCCTAGTCACAGTTGTGGTCTGGTCCTTTGTGTCCTAGTCACAGTTGTGGTCTGGTCCTTTGTGTCCTAGTCACAGTTGTGGTCTGGTCCTTTGTGTCCTAGTCACAGTTGTGGTCTGGTCCTTTGTGTCCTAGTCACAGTTGTGGTCTGGTCCTTTGTGTCCTAGTCACAGTTGTGGTCTGGTCCTTTGTGTCCTAGTCACAGTTGTGGTCTGGTCCTTTGTGTCCTAGTCACAGTTGTGGTCTGGTCCTTTGTGTCCTAGTCACAGTTGTGGTCTGGTCCTTTGTGTCCTAGTCACAGTTGTGGTCTGGTCCTTTGTGTCCTAGTCACAGTTGTGGTCTGGTCCTTTGTGTCCTAGTCACAGTTGTGGTCTGGTCCTTTGTGTCCTAGTCACAGTTGTGGTCTGGTCCTTTGTGTCCTAGTCACAGTTGTGGTCTGGTCCTTTGTGTCCTAGTCACAGTTGTGGTGCTTTGCTTTGGATCATTCCTAATAATTTACACTGACAGAGGATCAGCCACAAGAAATCTTCCAACCTAAAAACCCAAAACTGGTCACTGGTCACCCCTCGTTCCACACAAGGCCCACCAAGAAGAGTCATTCATCTACTGCAACACACTCCTCCCCATCGCTGCACTCTGCACAGACACGAGCCCGGCTGTTGTTTGTGGCTTCCTATTTTTAGCGCAGAGAGAAAGTGAGCATACTTCTGCGGAGAGCAGGGGGTAACGGAGGGGGGGATGTTTTCCTCCAATCAGAGCACCGGGCCCGATATACAAACTTTAAGTGACGGGAAGCCAGACCCACAAACCACGAGCTCTGTATTCTGTACCCCAGTGAAAACGGGTTTCTTTTTCAACACTGCGGCGTGCAACATTTAAATAATTGCAGAGACCCCATAATTCCACTCTTAAGGAAATACTTTCAGGCTTATTTAACAAAGCAAAACAAACTGGACTTGCTGTATTTTTCTTGAAGACTTTTCACTGGTCATCCGACCAGCTTTCTCAATTCAGAAATACAACGATAGTAATTAAACTGCATTGGCTGCCAGCGAGCAATCATATAAGGTTTTTTTGTTAGGTCCATGTGTGATGGTTTCTGATAGGTTGCTGTCGGGTTACTGCTTTGTATGCATTGCGCTTTGGCAGCAGAAAGTCTTTAATAAAGTATAGATGTAATGTTTGATGTAGGTGGATTTTTGCATTTTTAGTAATACACATTAAAATCTGCATTTTGACACTCTGCAACACACTTTAACGGACTGTATATTGAAATTGCAGTGCATAACTCTGAATGCCACCCCAACGCAAAGATCCAGCATCAACCATTGCACCTGCGCTACAACGTACTACTGTGCATGCCTGAGCACCCTCTTTCCATCCACTTCCTGTCTATATATACTCCAGCAATGGCTGCATGGCATGGTTTCCTGATGGTGACAACAGTGCACCATATATGTGTAATGTAATGTTTTAAGTTGGGTAGTTTTCCTTGTAGGGAGCCACCCTTGTGTGTGCTAGTAAGCTGTGTGTGTCTCCAGAAATACACACGCACAGCAATAAAAGCCACTTCCCTGCAACCAGCTCCCCTCCTCCCTTCTCTAAGCTATTAAATGGATAGCTGCTACATTTTGCTCTGTCCCTTGTGATCTTGTACTGGAAAGGACATTCAGGGAAGCCGAGCTCAGAGAGTTGGATCTGTTTAGAAACATGATGACTGTAAGTGTGTATTGATCGTGGCGCGTGTGCGTTCCACTGTGGTGCGAAGCCGCTAGGCGGAAGTCCTGTTCACGCCATTGCTTTCCAGGGTGGAACGCATCGGTCGGATTACGTTCTGGGCTCCTCCCCTAACTTCCTCCTTAAAGTAGAACTATGAGGTGAGTGCTTCTCACTCACCTCATCGTTCTAGCCGACCTGTGACAATGAGACTGTCACAGGTCGGCTCAGTAGATCGGGAGGTGAGCGAACACATACCGGCGTTCGCTCACCTCACGATCCTGTCACGGCTCTCTGCCGTGACAGGGGAGGGGCTGGATTCCTCCCTCCCTGCTCCGATCCGCCAGCGCTGACTGGCGGACGGGACGGGGAGGGGGCGGGTACAGCTGGCTCTGCCTCTAGATAGACAGAGCCAGCTGTCACTCACGCAGCTGGGCGGATCTCGACATCGATGTCGGGATCCGCTCTGGCTGCGGCATCTCAGTATACCGCGAGCTGTAGCTGACCCTAACCTGACCTTAACCCCCTGCTGAAGCATAGAGAGAGAGAGAGAGAGAGAGGAACACCATTGCTAGAGGCTGATGCCATCTCCAATCTGCCTGTTCAGCCATCATCCTTGCATTGGAGCTGCTGTTGTCCTAAACCGCAAGTAACCTGTACCACTATTACATTGACTCTGCTACTGGTTGCAACCTGCAAGTATACCTAGACGTTTACCATGATATTCAATGCATAAACCTTCTATTGATGCAGCCTTCATATGCATGTGAACTGTGCAAACCTGTGAACTACTTGTGGGTACTCTAGGGGAAAAACAAGCCCATACTCTATACCTGGACTCTTATATGTTAGAGATAGATAAGGATTACTTGTCTAGGAACCTCAACCTCAATCCTTAAAGGGGCAGTGTTGCTGTTACTGTTATTACCTGAGTTCTCACATACTGATCCCCACTGGTATGAAGTAATACCTCAGTGGTTATCCTTGTTAAACTTATCTTACTTTCTGCAGTACATGATGGTAGAACTCCTTACTCTCCTCATCAAAGATTGAGAGTGACGCCAGGAGTTCGACACTGATTACCGTACCCCCAGATTCAAAAAAAATTTCACCGGTTACAAGCTTCCGCAGCTGAGATTCACCCCCGATTGGCCAGGGCCTGACAAAGTGCTTGGACAAAAATATAAAAAAACTAATTAGGAAGGACAGTGTCAGCACCAATTCAGAGATGATTGGAGGATCGACAGCCGAGTGATACACAAATAAGATACATTGTTGTTCATAGTGAAGGGACTTGAATGTATTTATAAGATTTAACTCCGGACTTCAGTGTCACTTTAACATACAAGCACCTTATGTACAGTACATTGGGGGGGCCTTTCCCCAGTCCATTCACATTGGTTTGGTTTTAGATAGGCTTTAGGTTAAGTTAGACATTTCTCTGAATTACAGGGAACTATTTGAGGAACTGAAGGTTTTGTAAATAGTTATTAGTA